GTTTGTAATGGCTCTTTTGAAACTACACTGTCATTTATATCCACGCTGGTCATCATCCTATTGGTTACTATCAGCCAGATCGCATGATTCCCAGGAATGAATATTGGTGCCATTCTTGCTATCACGCATTGGGCTAGTCCCAAACCAGGCGCTTAAGACCAACCTAGAGATAGGTGGTCCACGTCTAACGGTGAGTGCACATCCATGTGGGGCACCGATTGAGCACAAATGAACACCTGTCATTTTTGCACGAAGTTCACCAATTAGTATTCGACACTTAGGCACTTTATTTTTTTTCCGAATTAGGACTGAATGTTACAATTATTCACACTGTATATGTGAAGCAATATTACTCATGTATTGTCAAATTTAATGCACTTAATTTATGCGCGGTCCACATGATATTTTATTTGTTCTTGTGTTATTGGTTCACAAATTAGGAGTGCAGCATACGTATACTTATCAAAAATTGCATAAATATCTATTCTTAAGTGCAACAGCACTATATTTTAATCCTATGCTAATGCCATGATCTAAATTTGCTGCTCCACATATCTTGCAGGTATGACTTTGACAGATGTATACACTATATGGAGTAAACATGCTTAGTTACTTTACTCATGCCTTCTTAGGGGACACACACTTTTTGCCTTTTCTTTTCACTTATTTGAGTGTTCGTCCATAGGTATAGAACCCTAGTAATATCACCTTTTGTATAAAGCACCACCTTGTGTGCTTTAATTTTGACCAGTAAGTTCATCTTTTCTTACTGGTTCTGCCCTCCTGATTAATTGCATTGCACTCTAGGCTAGTTATCTTCACCATGGAGACAGGAGATGTTTTCAGATGTATGGCTGCAGTGTGAGATGTGGAAAGATGCTGTTCAGTCATTGATGCCTGTGGACATTACACAGACCAGGGACTTTAGTCAGTACGCCATAAATAAAGAAATACAGTGACCGTTTATATTATATGTGTCAAACACAAGGTCCACGGACTGAATCTGGCCCACCAGGCCATTTCATGTGGCCCTTGCACTTCTCCTGCACCTGCGGCACCCCCACCTCATCTCTACCCCCACCTTGTCTCAGCAGTCAGCAGCAGAGAGAAGGATAAAATTCCCCCACTAAATCCTGCGCTTCTGTGCAGCTGCAGAGGGGCTCATCTCTCTCCCCCCTCTCCCTGTCTGAGGCATCGGCAGCAGAAGGACAGAACTCCACTTACAGATCCTGAGCCTCTCTGTGCAGCCGCAACACCCCCTCGTCTCTGCCTCCCTGGGCTCAGCATTCAGTAGTCTTCAGCCCTCCATTGGTCCTCCTCCAGACCCTGCATATTTTGCTTCCCAGCTCCACCCCCAGCTTCTTCCCAGCAGCACATGGTAAGATGGGTGCACAGATGTAAAGAGCATGCAGGTCTCTTGACGTCTGATGTAAGGGGGGTTGGATGCTCTGGAGATCTAGTCTTACTGATGCAACTGGCCCTTTGAGGGCAACCATAGTGCAGATGCAGCCCTCGATTAAACTGCGTTTGACACTCATGGTCTACATGCTATAATATCATAATAGGTCACATAGCCAATTGCTGAATACAAAACGTCTTTGAAGTGAAAATATAAGATGGTCAATTTTCCAGTTTATTGACAGAAGACAATGAATATACACCACAGATATAACATTACCATTGCCCATAAGAACAATATCAAAGTAATATAAATTGGATACAGAGACACAGAAAAAGCAGAATGAAAACATTACAATTAAGCATTTCCCACTAGTATTTGTAAGAAGTTAAAGATGGTATGACATTGACGGGACGGTAAACCGCAGGCTGATAGCCCTCTGAAGCTGCTTGCAGTAGCTGAAGGCCACTTCCTGGGTCTCTTCGGCATCGTGCCATAGCTTCTTTGTAATTCATTTTCTCTTTGGTAAGAGGATCAATGATATTCTTTTCATAAATTGACTCATCCTGTATCAGAGTAGCCAGATCTTTGGTGATCATACCCTGATCTATCGCACTTGACAGGGGAATTCTCCCTGTCTTTTTGGTATCAATCAAGCCACCAGTAAGGTATTGGACCGTCAGATATGGCAAAGCTGTTTCTTTAGTCATAAGTCCCTTCTGCACAGCTTCTCCTACGGACAGTCGTTTCTTAGTCACTGGGTCCTCCACACCTGTGAAAGCCTTTTGGGCATTGAGTAAGTTTTGTGGATTACTGCTGTCAATAAGCCCTCTATCTATGGCTTTATTAACAGAATACCTATCTTTGCTAACTATGTCAATTATGCCACCAGTAGCTGCTTGAGCTTCCAAAAGCTTTTGAGCTGTTGCTGGATCTATTAATTTTCTTGTGACACCACTCCTGACTGTGCACTTGCTGTCAATAGTAGTGTCATAGACCCCGGCAATAGGAAAGCTATCATCATGGAATACTTTAGGTGCACTTTGGTTGAAGAAACTGCGTGATTGGGTTTGGCTACTAGGGGAAGTCACTGGTGACTTGGATCCAATTATGGAACCAATGGAAATACTCTGGGGTTTGTTTTCTCCAGCCACAAGAAGGGCAAATTCTGAAATTGGAATTCTGCCATCTCTATACATTTGTAATTCCTCTTTGGTGATTTTCTTGCTCCTTAGAGCATCTTCAATAGAATACTGCTTCCCACTCTTCTTGTCTAACAAGACAGAAATTTCACCACTAGATCCCATAGTAGAAATTTCCTCCCAATCACACTCTAATTCTTGCAATTGAATATACTGATTGCGGTCTATAATGCCTCTTTTGTATGCTTCATATGGTGACATTTCTTTCCCAGTATCTGGATCCAGGATAGAAATTTTTGTGGATACATTTGTCTCTCTCATTTGTGTCTCTTGATTACGTTCTTCACGATTGACCCGGGACTGCAAATCCCTAATGTTTCTTTCCTTTTCATATATGTTGTCCTTTTCCTTAAGAATTTTAGATTCCAGAAGGGACAGTTCCTGACCCAATTGCATCCTCTTCTGGCGCTCATTCTCTGCCTTTTGTGTAAGAAGTTCAGATTCTTTGTTCAAAAACACACTCTTTTGCTGTTGTTGTCTCCTCAGTTCCAATAAGTCCTTTTCTATTGTCGACTTCTCTTGCTGTGCCTGAGCTCTAGCCTTCTGAAGATCCACTTCTTCTTTTGACCATGTCTTTTTCGTTGCATCCGTCCTATCAATCTTTTCTTTAAGTCTTCTTGATTCATCTTCCATGTCCTGTCTGGCATTCCTCTCTTTGATACACAGCTCTCGCAATCTGGCCCTTTCACTTTCCAGTACTTTATCCTTCTCCACTCTGATGACTTCTTTGTAGATTGTTTTTTCCAAAGATTTTTCTCTCTGTAAGATGTCTATCTTCATTTGCAGATTTTTACATTCTCTTTCAATGTTAAGCATCTGTGTTCTTTCGTTATCCAGATCACTGCGTAGGGAAGCTGCTGATTTTTCCAAAATTGGATCCTTTTCCACCTTCACCACCTCCTCCATAACAATCTTTTCCTGCACAGGTGGAGGACTTTCCTCAATCTCTTTAATTCTCATAGTTATCTGTCGCAGTTCTTTTTCTGCTGCAAGTTTCTTATCTCTCTCCTCCTGGAAATTCAGCAGCCTCTCTTTTTCTTCTACAAGACTACGCAATTGTTGAACCTCGCGCTCCAAACGACGCCTGTTGCTAACTTCCTCATCCAGTGTACTGCTTAGGCGGTGGTGATCTTCTGTTAACTTGGGGTCTTTCTGTACGTGGACAATCTCTTGCACCACAACTCTCTCTTCTGGTTTCCTTCTCTCTAACAATATGAACTTACTTTGTAAGTCATATACTAAGCTCTCTACTCCCCTCCTTCTCTGAGATTCATCTCTTACTTCTTGACGCAGGCGTTCTGCTTCTCTGATCAACACAGGGTCATTTTCATATTTAACGACCTCTTTGTTCACTACCTTTGTCTCTATCTTTGACCTTTCTTTCCTCCAGTCATCCCTCTCTTTGGACAACTTAGATTTCTGGTCTATGTACCTAGTATTGGTGGACTCTAGGTCTTTCAGTTGCCCCCTCACTCTGTCTATTTCTTTCATCACTTCTGGACTCTTCTCCAACTTAACTACTTCTTGGACAATTTCCTTATATTCTACCACTGGTTTTTGTGACTTCAAAGTAAACGCTTCATTTTGGGTAGTATTCAATTGCTGTTCGTAAAGAGATTTTTTGGATGAGGCATCCTGCAGAGCAGCTTTCAATCGAGCAATTTCATTTTCGGTCTCTGGCTGCACTACGAACACCTCATTGACCCTTTCTTTTTAATCTCCACTTTGGGCTTCTGTTTTTCTACTACTGCATACTTGGACTGCAACTCTGATAACTCTCGGGTCAGGCTTATGCTTTTGTTTCTTTCTTCTTCCATCAAAGTTTTCAACCTGGCTGCCTCTTTCAGGATTTCAGGGTCCTGTTCTACCTTCTTTACTTCCTTTACTATGACCTTAGGCTCAACTGATTCAATCAGTTTTTCTAACTCTTCTGTTCTGTTTCTCAGTTTCACAATGTTGTCCCGCAGAGACTTTCTGCGGAAGGTCTCATCGTCAATCTGTAGCTGCAATGCCCGTGTTGCCTTTAACATCTCAGGGTCTCTTTCTACCTTGACTACTTCTTTTAGCACCACTTTTTCCTTCACATTAGGTTGCTTCTGCTCCAGTACTAGCACTTCCATTTTCAAGCGTTCCAACTCATGTGAAAGGGAATTGTTTTCTTCCTTGAGGTTTTTAATCTCTTTTTTCAAGGTCTGGGCTTGAGATTCTAGATTTGAGTCTTTCTCTATTTCTGTAACTTCTTTGGTCAGCAGTTGTGGTTTGATGCTTTTTTTCTGGTTTTCCAAAGTCACCAATTTTTTACTCACTATGTCTATCTCAGACTGAGTATTTTGTCTTTCTTTTAAGCTATTGTCAGCTTGAGATTTCATTGATACAAGTTCATTTTCCAGCTTAGGATCTCTGTAGTACTGTACCATTTCCTTTTCCTCCAGTCTTTCCACAGGTCTTTGTGTCTTTAGCAGAAGAATTCTCCTCCTGTTCTCTTCCAACGTTTGCTGCACCTGGGCCACCTTTGCTTTCTCCTCACCCAGTTCCTTTGACAAATCCTCTGATTCCTTGACTGATCTCAAGGCATTCTGTGAGCGTAGGTTTTGCTGCATTGATAGCTGAACTCCATCAGGAGAATCTGACTGAAAAACAAATGTTAAAATAGCATAAATCTAATTCCTTGTAACAGAAAAGGAACAATTATATGCGCTCAATTTTCGTTAACCTTCAGGTGTTTTTTTTTTTCATCCAAATTACAACAGTTGTAATTATGTGTAGATCTGTATTAGAGATGCACATATATAGAGTGGGGCAACATACTCCTATGAATGCCAAATTCCCTTAACAACTGTGTTTTTTGTCCCAAAAAGCTGTTTAGTGTTCATGTCTTTTTGATAAGTATTCTTTATCACTTCGAAAGGTCTGTGTGCTTGAAAAAAGTTATTTATCCTATATACCATATGCTGTTATCCATATTACAACACTACGTACAGGGGTGTGGAAACTTTTGAAAAAAACTACTCGTCCAGCGACTAAATCGGTGTACCAATCGACTTGTCCCTCATGACAATATACTTGTCCAGATAAAAAAATTTTTTTTTTAAACCAAAACCATATTTAAATCGGAGGTGATTTTAGGAATGTCTGGGGCATTTAAAAAAAAAAGATACTTAAACGTATAATATTTTTAACATTGCACTCTTTATCTCCTCCTCCCTTCCCTGCCTTCTCCAGCACCGCACTCGGGGACTAGCAGGGAGGGGAGAGACCGTGCAGTGTAATGAGCACCGATTGCCTGCTCCTTAGTAAAGGGGAGTGTCCAGCTTATCCTTTATCCCTTTCGCTGCCAGAACCGTTTTGCGTTTTTTGCACACGTTTAAAAAATCATTTTAGGCCTGAAGATTACATAAAACCCCCAAACATGATATATTTTCTGAAAACAGACGCCCTAGAGAAAAAAATAGTGGTAGTTCCAATTTTTTATGTTGCATGATATTTCCACAAAATTTCAGTAAAAAATGCGCTTGTTAATTTTAGAGCACAAAAAAAAAGCAATAAATTACCCTATTTTTTGGTAAAATATAAAAGATGAGGTTGCACCAAGTAAATAGATATCAAACCTTAAATTTGTGCTCGGTCGTGAAATGGTGACGAACTTCAGTACCCTATATTTTCTATAGGCAACACTTTTAAAGCTCCTCATAGGTCATCCGTTTAGTGTTACGGAGGAGGTCTAGTGCTTGAATTATTACTGCCATTCTGGCGTGCCCCAGCTTGTGGTTTTATGTGTGTATGTGCATATATGTGGGGGTGGGGGGGCCTAAATTTTTTTTTGGGGGGTGGTGTTATGTGCTTGGGTGTAACTTTCATTTTTTTACAATAAAAAAACATGGGGTGACAGGTTATCTTTATTGAGACCCTGCATGTCTCCCTTGTGCTCCACTGAATGTAATGCAGTGCACACTGCACCATATTACATTTTTTCCCGAACAAGATAAAAAAAATCTGCGCTACCTAGTGAATTAAAAAAGAAAGGGTGAAAACTGATAGTAGTGAAATGGAGCTGCTGCTGGCATTAAATTGTGTTCCCACAACTAAACAATAAACATAAATAAAACAATGCTGCGCTGCAAATAAATAAATAAAAGGCATATATGAAGGTGTATAAAGTGTAGTAAACACTAAATATTAAATGAATGTCCAAACCATGTGCAATAACCATGCAGGCGGTGTCACCTCTCTTGCTTGCCCACAGCAGGACTAAAGGTTAAAAAAAAAAACTACCTGCCCAGCGCCCGGAACTACATGTCCTGGATGTCGGCAATATAAATTCAACATCCCTGTACGTAGTATTTGCTGTATTTTCAATGTTACAGCCATTGGCCCTATTTTTTGACGTTCAGTGTTTGCAGACATCAAATCTTTTTTTTTCTCTTATTATATATTGAATTATTATTGCTATCCTTTGTTAAATAACACATTCCAGTTATCTATACTGTGAGGTTAAACCAAAATATGACTGAATATGATAAAACATTAAAAGTGTGATGTTATATTACCTTGTCTAAAACCTTTTTGGCAAACTCCATTTGGTTCAGTTGCTGCTTGCTTTCAACTGTTGCCTCCGTGCAGCGCTTCACTAAATCCTTTTGCTGTAAGAGAGCAGAGATAAGAAATTTGATCTTGGGTTATATCAAGCGAACAAATTCCAACAGCATTCAGAAGAAAAGTACATTTGTGTCCAGATTAGATATATATATATATATACAGTATATATAGTGGAGGTTTTTTTTTTTTTGCCTAATACTTTATTTTATGCTCTGCAGACAATGAAGTAAGGCCTGCAAATGCTAAAAGTGAGTTCTTCACTGGATGGCCTGTCTACTGTAACTCAAGTTCTGCTTGAACTTCTTGGAAAAGTAATGAGCCAATTACATCGGAAAGGGGATTGATGTGAAAAGCACTGTCTATAAACATCAATCAGCGATAACATTATGACCACTGACAGGTGAAGTGAATAACATTGATTATTATATGACAATAGCACCTGAAAGTGGGTGGGATATATTAGGCAGCAAGTGAACATGTTGTACCTGAAGTTGATGTGTTGGAAACAGAAAAAACTGGCAAGCATAAGGATTTTAGCGACTTTGAAAAGCTCCAAATTGTAATGGCTAGATGACTGGTTCTAAATAAAAGGAATATACAGTTGAAAGAAAAAGTATGTGAACCCCTTGGGATTACGTGGAGTTTTGCATGAATTGGGCATAAAATGTGCTCTGAACGTCATCTAAGTCACAACAATAGAAGAACACAGTCTGCTGAACATAATACTACACAAACATTAGATGTTGCCATGGTTTAATTGCACATAACATGTAAACATTCACAGTGCAGGGAGGAAAAAGTATGTGAGGCCCTAGCTTAATGACTTCTCCCAGAGCTAATTGGAGCCAGGAGTGAGCCAACCTTGACTCCAATCAGTGTGATGATATTGGATGTGTTGCTGACAGCTGTCCTGCCCTTAAAAAACACACACCTGTTTTGGGTTTACTGGTTTCAAGAAGCACTGTCTGATGTGAACCATGCCTCGCAGAAAAGAGCTCTCAGAAGACCTACGATCAAGAATTGTTGACTTGCATGAAGCTGGAAAGGGTTACAAAAGTATCTCCAAAAGCCTTGATGTTCATGTGTCCATGGTAAGACAGACTGTCTACAAATGGAGAAAGTTTAGCACTGTTGCTACTCTCCCTAGGCGTGGTCGTCCTGTAAAAATGACTGCAAGAGCACAGTGCAGAATTCTGCATGAGGTAAAGAAGAATCCCAGAGTGTCAGCTAAAGACCTACAGAAATCTCTGGCACATGCTAACATTTTTCTTGACACATCTACAATAAGGAAAACATTAAACAAGAATGGAGTACATGGGAGGACACCACGGAGGAAGCCATTGCTGTCCAAAAAGAATATTGCAGCACGTTTGAAGTTTGCAAAAGAGCACCTGGATGTTCCACAGCACTACTGGCAAAATATACTGTGGACAGATGAAACCAAGATTGACTTGTTTGGGAAGAACACACAACACTATGTGTGGAGAAAAAAAGGCACAGCACACCAACATCAAAACCTCATCCCCACTGTAAAACATGGCGGAGAGAGCATCATGGTTTGGGGCTGCTTTGCTGCCTCAGGGCCTGGACGGATTGTTGTCATTGATGGGAAAATGAATTCCAGGTTTATCAAGACATTTTGCAGGAAACGTACGACCATCTGTCCGCCAACTGAAGCTCCGCAGAGGATGGGTGATGCAACAGGACAATGACCCAAAGCATACAAGTAATTCAACAAAACAATGGCTGCAACAGCACAGAATACGCCTTCTGGAGTGGCCCAGTCAGAGTCCTGACCTCAACCCGACTGAAATGCTGTGGCATGACATTAAGAGAGCGATTCACACCAGACATCCCAAGAATATTGCTACACTGAAACAGTTTTGTGAAGAGGAGTGGTCCAAAATGACTCCAGATCGTTGTGCAGGTCTGATCTGCAACTACAGGAAACGTTTGGTTGAGGTTATTGCTGCCAAAGGAGGGTCAAACAGTTATTAAGTCCAAAGGTTCACATACTTTTTCCTCCCTGCACTGTGAATGTTTACATGTTATGTGCAATTAAACCATGGCAACATCTAATGTTTGTGTAGTATTATGTTCAGCAGACTGTGTTCTTCTATTGTTGTGACTTAGATGACGTTCAGAGCACATTTTATGCCCAATTCATGCAAAGCTCCACGTAATCCCAAGGGGTTCACATACTTTTTCTTGCAACTGTAAGAGGGCACCAATCTAAGTGTAGCAATGGGAAAACCTTATTAAATAAAAAAGACAATTGGCAATTTGTATTTTTTTATTAATTAAAATGGTTCCCATTGCTACACTTGGATTGGTGCCCTTTTGTGTTTCTTTTATTCCCATGCAGAAACTCTTCAGTCTGTGAGGTGCTGCAGCTATGTACATTGGAATTAAACTTTGGTGGACTTTATAAGACTGTGTAATTATCATCTTTAGTTGTGCTTTTTTTAACTAATGGCTCCAAGAATCCCACTGTCATGCCTCTTGTAATTACAGTGCCTTAAAAAAGTATTCATACCCCTTGACGTTTTCCATATTTTGTTATGTTACAACCAAAAACATAAATGTATTTAATTGGGATTTTATGTGATAGATCAACACAAAGTGGCACATAATTGTGAAGTGGAAGGAAAATGATAAATGGTTTTCAAATTTGTTTTCCAAGAAATATGTGAAAAAGTGGTGTGCATTTGTATTCAGCCCCCCTGAGTCTATACTTTGTAGAACCACCTTTCGCTGCAACTACAGCTGCAAGTTATTTTGGGGATGTCTCTACCAGCTTTGCACATCTAGAGAGGGACATTTTTGCCCATTGTTTTTTTCAAAATAGCTCAGGCTCTGTCAGATTGGATGGAGAGCATCTGTGAACAGCAATTTTCAAATTTTGCCACAGATTCTCAATTGGATTTAGGTCTGGACTTTGACTGGGCCATTCTAACACATGAATATGCTTTGATCTAAACCATTCCATTGTAGCTCTGGCTGTATGCTTAGGGTTGTTGTCCTGCTGGAAGGTGAACCTCGCCCCAGTCTCAAGTCTTTTGCAAATTCCAACAGGTTTTCTTCTAAGATAGCCCTGTATTTAGCTCCATCCATTTTCCCATCAACTCTGACCAGCTTTCCTGTCCCTGCTGAAGAGAAGCATCCCTGCAACATGGTGCTGCCATCACCATGTTTCACGGTGGGGATAGTGTGTTCAGTGTGATGTGCAGTGTTAGTTTTCCACCACACATAACATTTTGCTTTTAGGCCAGAAAGCTCAATTTTGGTCTCATCTGACCAGAGCACCTTCATCCACATGTTTGCTGTGTCCCCCACATGGCTTCTTGCAAACTGCAAAGGGGACTTCTTATGGCTTTCTTTCAACAATGGCTTTATTCTTGCCACTCTTCCATAAAGTCCAGATTTTTTGAGTGCATGACTAATAGTTGTCCTGTGGACAGATTCTCTCACCTGAGCTGTGGATCTCTGCAGCTCCTCCAGAGTTACCATGGGCCTCTTGGCTGCTTCTTTGTTAATGCTCTCCTTGCCTGGCCTGTCAGTTTAGGTGGACAGCCATGTCTTGGAAGTTTTGTAGTTGTGCCATACTCTTTCCATTTTCGGATGATGGATTGAACAGTGCTCCATGAGATGTTCAAAGCTCTTATATATTTTAATAACATAACCCTGCTTTAAACTTCTCCATAATTTTATCCCTGACCTGTCTGGTGTGTTCCTTGGCCTTCATTATGCTGTTTGTTCACTAATGTTCTCTAACAAACCTCTGAGGGCTTCACAGAACAGCTGTATTTATACTGAGATTAAATTACACACAGCTGGACTCTATTTACGAATTAGGTGACTTCTGAAGGCAATTGGTTCCACTAGATTTTAGTTAGGGGTATCAGAGTAAAGGGGGCTGAATACAAATGCGCGCCACACTTTTCAGATTTTTTTTGTAAACAAATTTGAAAACCATTTATCATTTTCCTTGCACTTCACAATTATGTGCCACTTTGTGTTGGTCTATCACATAAAATCCCAATAAAATACATTTACGTTTTTGGCTGTAACAGGACAAAATGTGGAAAATTTCAAAGGGTATGAATACTTTTTCAAGACACTGTATGCCATCATATTTTTCTCTTATGACTTGGTCAGAGCAACTCCAAAACTGCAGCTCTTGTGAGATGTTTCCAGCTTGCACCAACCAAAAGTGGTCCAAGGAGGGAAAACCAACAACAGGGTCATGGACAGCCAAGTCTCATTGATGCACATGGACAGCAAAAGCTTACATGTGTAGTCCAATCCAAAAGGAAAGCTACTGAATCTCAAATTGCTGAAAAAAACTAATTATGGTTCTGATAAAAAGGTGTTGGAACACGCAGTGCGGTTTATTTACTAAAGCTGGTTCACTCAGAATCTTGTGCACTTCTGCATAGAATCCAATCCGCTTACAGGTTTTATTGCTAAAGCTTAATTGAACAAGCTGAGGATAGAAGCGGATTGGCTACCATGCACAGGTGCATGAGATTCTGTGTGCGAACCAGCGTTAGTAAATAAACCCCAGTGTATTGATGTTTGTTGCGTATGGGGTTTTGTAGCCACAGACTGGTCAGGGTGCCCATGTGGACATCCATAGCCAAAAGTGCCTACAATGGGTACATAAGAATCAGAACTAGATCATGAAGCAATGGAAGAAGGTGTCCTTGAGATGGTGACTTGGTCTCTAAATTCTCCAGATTTCCATCCAATTGGACATCTGTGGGATGTGCCGGAAAAACAAGTCCAATCCATGAAGGGCTCACCTTGCAACTTACAGGACTTAAAGTATCTGCTACTGGCAGCTTGGTGCCAGATACCACAGCATACCTTCAGAGGTCTACTGGAGTCCATGCCTCGACAGGTGTTTTGGTGACAAAAAGGGAAAATACTCAATATTAGGTGGATGGGCATGTTATGGTGAGTGGTTATAATGTGGCTGATTGGTGTACTGTTTACTGTTACTAGGTACTGGTGAGAAATGTTTAAATTTTTGGGTAAGTTT